TAAAGTTATGAATTACGTCCTGAAAAAACAGTTCTATTACAAATAAGAATATAAAAAAATAATAATAATGTTAATTATATAATTTACTACGTAATGTATCCGCCTACTAATTAAAATATTTGTTTATGAAAAACATTAGTTATAACATTAAAATAATTATTATATTTAAAGATAAAAAAATATTTTTGAGTACATATATCAATATAACATATTAAAACAGTTTCAAGCAATAATGTACAATATTTATTTAATACTTTTAAATAATATGAAACGACTTATACATTTATTTTAAAATATTTCGTAAAAGTTTTTTAAAACTTTTAATGTATACGTTTATACACATTTAATACAAGAATAGTGAATATTAATATTAACAAGACAAAATATATATAATATAAGATTTTGTAATTAGTAAAAGGAAAATTTTTTTTTGCTTCAATTAAAACGAAAAGAAATAATTATATTAAATAAATAAAAATGTATGAAACTATGTTTTCGATTGTGAACAGTTGAAATTTTTGTAGAAAAACAATATAGGGGAATTTAATAAGAATGAGTACTTATACTGTATGTTAAAAAACACATATTTTTGAAACATTTTTAATTCGTATAAGTTTAAGACTTATTGTAAAACAAAAATTATGATATACCTTGTTGTTTTTATTCCTTCGAAAAATTATAATTATAAAAAAAAAAAACTTAACTAAAAGGCAATAAGATAGCTTTTATTTTGAGAAAGAAAGATAATAATATTTGTAATTCTTATTCTATGATATTGTAACGAGTTTTAAAGGAAAAATTTTTTAAAAGAACAAAACAAAAAAAAAGAAAAACAAAAAATTTGTAATCATTAGTAAACTATTATTATTACTGTCAGCCTTCACCGCCAACTGTTATGTCGCTAATTTATAATACAAAGTTTCTTTGAAGAGCGTCAACGCTCCTTCGGAAGGGGGAAGGGATGTTGTGGGTGCATGCCCTATAGAGTGTGTTAAAACCGGTTTGGCCAGCAACAAATAATTAATTAAAATTGGCCTTGCAGTTAAGTATCATGTTACGAGACTGTAGCAGTGAACTACTGTTGAAAGCAACGATCCCACAACATAATCGTAGAATGTGCTGACACTCAAAATGTGCAATCAAATTTGGAAATTCCTTCACACCTTGTGAAATCTTTATGTCTACTTAATTTGTGCTCCAATAAAAATGAATACTTGTGTATAAATTTTTGGTGATAAAATGCGGATACTGCTCTTGTACTGTAATCTCAACACAACAGCATAATCTTAGGACTCGAACAATAGCCACTTGTATTTTTCCAACTCCATCACAAAACTTCTTTTCTACAACACAAAAATCGAAATACCTTCGTACGCTTGTAAACAAGATAATGAACTGTTTAATGAATTAATTTTGATTTTTCTGTCATTATTGACTTGACAGCTAGATCGGTGCGAAGTTTGTTGGAAATTCCATTAGTGTCAACAGTTATCAGTGAATTTGGTGACTTCTATAATTTTTGTATATAATACCTTTACGTTTTATGTTATATTTCTAATACTTTTATTTTCTTTAAGTCTTTTCAAACATGTTTATATGGTTCTTACAAATATTAAAAAAATAATTTATTGGTGCACACAATCTTCTAAAATCGCTGTTAAGTTTATTATTTTTGCCGTATATTAAATGAATATGGACATTCAGCTGTTATAAAAGCAATTGTGAGTTGCAATGAGTTTGAATAAGATATGCGTAAGCTTTTTCAATTAGCAGCCCACTGTGGCATTAAGACTTGACATGGAAAAAGCCGTCGATACTGTCTGGTTTAAAGACTGAATTCTTAAGCTCCATCAGCTGGGCTTTTCCGCAATGCAGAGCATTTTGGTCCACAAATTTCTGTTCAACAGAACCTTTCAATATAGAGTCGGTTCCTCTTCGACCCGTGCTTTCCCCATCGACGCCGGCTTCCACCAGGTCTCAGTTCTAGGCCCCTTCCTCTTTAACATGTTTCTAATAGATATTCCTCTCTCGCAGGCTCCTTGAGTGTCTTTTTGATTACTATACCAGGTGAAATATTAAGCTCAACCTTTTCAAGATCTCTACCACAGCCCTTCGTGGCCAGCAGCGAGATCGCCCCAGAGGCTTTGGCACCTCTGACATTGAGCACAGGCTCAACAATTCTCCGGTTCAGTTTGTTCCGTATCTGAAATATCATTGTATAACATTGAAATAACATTGTATTCTCCTCACAACACATCTTTATCCCTCACGTTAACTATACCATCCGTAACGCCCAGTTCAGGCACACTCAACTCAAAAAAGCACTTCCACAACATAACTAGCTTAACTGCAAAGCTCTGCTATAAGCAGCTTATTTGCCCCTTATTTGCAGTATCACCCATCCCCCTAATTCACGCCAATGCTTTCTGACTAAGATGAACCTAGTCCACTAGGTATTATCCCCTGAGAGATATAATCTTCTGTATTCATTTCTAAGCGGTGGTTTTCGTGGGTTCAAGTTTCACACTGTGACTTTCGATGTTTTTCCCATACTACTAAACAAAATGAGTTTGAATTGAATATCGCATGAGATGTGACTTGATCGGACATTTTTATACGAGGTTGGGTGGATTTATTATAAATTCATCAGCAAAATAAAGTGAGTATTTCATTTGCGTTTCTTTGTGTGCTTGATTCTTTAGTACGACTTTATGTCGTATAACAAATAATTCCAAGACCACTGATTATGTGTTTTTTACAATACTCGGAACAGCTGTATGGCCAGCCAAAAATTCAATTAATTAAAATAATATAAATGAATTTTTTGTTATTGTTGTAGTTCAGTACTTTTCGACACCGTTTTTAGTGATAAGTTTTAAAACAGTAATACAGAATAATAAATACTAATAAATAAGAACATAATATTTTGTTTATAATAATACTTTATTTATTACATAATTATTACACAACTTTACTGATGAAATTCGAGAAAGTTGAATTTAGTTTCAGTGAGGTACTTTAAAAAAATTAAATACATGAATTTGTGAAAATAATCTACTACATATTTACATTTTGTGTATTTAGTTTTATCTAGACTAAACTAATAAACTCTTCGCAGCAATTATATATTAATGCGAATTAAAAATATACCGTTAAAAGCAATTTGAAGATTTATATTTGTATATTACTTGATTAGAAAAACAAAAATCTAAATATACTTCAAATGGCCACTTGTATATAATATTTTAATAATAAATTGTTATACTAGATTAGTTTTACTTTAACAAGATAAACAAACAGGAACTGCAACTTAAAATTCAAATAATTTGTAATAAATAACATATAGTCGGGGACCAAAATAATTATTTCTTAAATTTTCACGAAAAAATGCAACAGCAAAAAGTTGTCTAATTTCTTATGTAAATATGTAGTTATCATACTTACAACTCTCATCATTAATATTATAAATGTTTTATACATATATATACGGCTTTTAAAATAAAACTCAAAGAATAACAATTAAATTTGCTTTATATTATGTTCTTTAAAAATAATTATGGTTTCTTGCTTTTTGCTTTTTCACGTATAAATAACTCACACTTTGTTTTTAGTTTAAAACGCACAAATAATTATTATTTAAATATGATATGAAACCCAAAAATAACTTTTTAACACTTCAAGCGCTTCACCCTGTATAACATATGAATTGAAAGCATATAAATAATTATTATTTTATAAAAACACAATTCAAAAAACTAATTTAAAATATGTAAATTTATAAATTATATACAATTTATATATTACTAATAAGAATACAATAACAGATTTGCAATTGTTGTTATGTAAAGTACTCTTTTTATAATAAATATTATTTGCCTGGTAACTCTGGCCTTAAGTCAGAGAACTGTCATTTTTTCTGTTTTCCTTTTATTCATTATTATATTAAATAAAGTGAAGTTAAAAAACTTGTCGAAATCATCGGATCGTGTGTATTATTTTTTGCTCAAATATAAAATAGCAATTACAATCAGTGAGCGAAAACAAACACTAAAGTACAAAACATAGTGTACTGTCATCTTTGTTAAAAAACACTAAACGAACAGTACATTAAAAAAAGTCCGAAAAAATCCAACAATTTTTAGAGTTTGTGTACTTTTCACGAATGTAGTGCTCATTATAACGATCTTTTCACGAAGGTAGTGCTCATTTTAGTTATCTTTTGCCGAAGGTAGTGTGGTCTTTTTAGTGATCATTTTCCTAAGGTAGTGGTTTTTTAACGTTTGCCAAACTAAACGATTTGGAAGCGTTTTTAATGTGCATTGTTGTTGCTCCGTTTGCATGAGAAAAAGAAAAAATTTTGTTTGCATTTGTATTGCATGTATTTTGTTTGTGTATTATTGATAAAGATATTGCGTATGCATTTATTGATGCAAATTTAATATTAGGGGATGAATTACATATATTTAATATTTTATTGCGGTTGAATGACTCGATACTGTACACTACGATACTGTACTGTTTATTTTCGTTCACTGATTACAATACATATTTAATACAAAAACAAACCTAACCATTTACGTACACCAACTTTTTTTATACATTTTGTATGAACACACAAATACAACTACAACACACAGAAAAGCGTTTCATTTTTGTTTAATAATAAATAGCCCTTCTTGCTAGTTACTATGTGTTTCAAAAAGAAATTACACACAAGGAGTTTTATTTTTTTTTGAAAAATAGTAATCATTTTTTAGTTTTACATTGTTAAGACATATATATAAATATATATAATATAAAGCAAATTAAATAATTTTGTTTTGCGTTTTATTTTAAAAGCCGAATGATAAGAGAGAATGATAATTAATTAATGTATCAAATAATAATTGTTATGGCCCTTGCTTATAGTTTTTAACCCTAAATTTATACAAAATCTTCACAATAAATGATATTAAAAATGTTATTAAGAAATTATTTTTTTTAACAATTTACTGATAGAACTTCAACAAAATATAAAAAACTTCATTAGAAGTAAACATTGAATTTAAATATGTCAAGTTAACAATATTTGAAATCTCCTTAAGGCGTTGTTTGAGACAGTTGGCTACTTCCCTTGGAATTTGGTCCATTTCCTATTTGGGAGCTTGAAATTAGGTTAGGAATACAAACTGTTGGAGCAACAGGAACAATCTCTACGGATGCTTGTATTGTATTCACAGCATTTGCACAAGCGGTCTCAGAAACAGAACTATATATGTATAAACTAGATGTAGATATTGGTGGACAAGAAAGTTTTTTGAAACTCTTTTTTTTATATATATTTACATTATTTGTGTTAGATATTTTCGTGAACAAAGACGTTTGTTTCGGGTCTAATTCTGATTGAATACAATTGCTTTGCGACTGATCATTTTCATTCGATTTATTAGCGTTTTGACAATGAATTGATTTATTGGATTGTCCTAGTATAAGTTTAGAATTATGTGCGTTACCTACAGATTGAGTATGATGGAATTTAATATTGTTTTTATCGTTAATACGTATGGTTGATAATAAAGTAGCAGAAGTTGGTGTTCGTATTAAATTACGATGTTGTTGACGACGTTCTCGTGCTTGCTCAACATGTTTTTTCCTGTCTTCTCGAGACCAATAGCGACCAGTTTTTACTTCTGATATAGTATCGTCTTCAGTTGTTGTAAAATCTGTTTTTATAATTTCGGTATTATTTTTTGACGGTCGATCGTGCAAGAAATGTCTACGAGCGGGACGGCGGACTATATATCTTGTACCGTCTTGACGACGTTTTACTTTCCAAACCATTTCATCACTTTGCGGACTTGATGTAACAACAAGTGTTGAGGATGCAGTAGGTGGTTTTTGTAAGTGCTGAGCATTACTAACCTAGATAAAATAAAAATAAAGCGTCATTAAAGAAGTTATCAATTATATATTGTTGGTTTATATATGTTAAATATCTTTAAAATATTAGTTAATTGGATATGTTACGAAGTTTGTGTTAATGCCGATAAAAGTATTTTTTTATAAATTTAAAACTTTAAGCGACGTTTCTATAAAAAATTATTCAATTTATAAGGTACTCCTATCATTGAGTAATGAATAGGTTTGTCCACCGCTTTTATCAAATAGTCACATAACGATCATTACATATTATTAATAATGATATTTGATAATAGTAAGGTTAACTGAATATAAATAATGACCAATTGTATTAATTACTATTACTTATTAATAGTACATATTAATATTGTAAGTATTAATATAAAATTTAATACCAAAATAACTAAAATAAAGTTGTATATAACTTAATTTGCAAGACAATTTAAGCGATAGCAAAACTATTTGTTTTTTTTTTATGAAAAATTAACAGCGTATTTTTCGCTGTTAATTTTGTCATCATTACATTAGGATATTCATTTATGGTTATAAAATACCTGCATAAGGATGGCCTCAGCATTATAAATAAAAATTAATTCTACCTGTGAGCTTTTGAAAAGTGTACTAACAATTGAAATCACGATACTTGTTTCACTTTTTACCATTTTACCGATAATATTCATTGAACGAAAATAAATAGTACACTATCGTAAGTATGAAGTTTTCTACAATTGCTTTCGTAACATTGACGGCGTCTTTTGTTTATAAGGGGATTGCTTCTACAAATTTTGTTAATTCACATTGAAGTGTTACAATGTATCTATAATTTTTTGATGGGATATGTAGGCTACAGTGTTTATAGTTATTACTTCAAAAGATGTGTTTGGTGTCTAAGTAATTTGACATTTTTCTCACGGGTGTCTAATTAAAATAATTAAAATAAATAGTATGGTACATACATCACAGTTGTTGATAAAATTTTTTACTATTGTGTTCATGTATTTCCCAAGATATTTCTGTTTTAATTTTATTATTCATATTTTTATTCCTCAGTGTTCTCCATGTAGAGATTTGTGATATTCCTTTATTAACCCGAGCATTTTTTCTGTGTCTTTTATTCTTTTTGGTTGTGTGTATATTATTATGCCTATCTAGACATTCTTTTAATTTCAATTCTTTCTGCAGATTATTAAATATATCTTTTAGTTCTTGCAAGTTTATTCTATTTAATATTTTATCACTTTCTGCCAGCGCTAGTTTTGTAGTTTTTTTGTTGTCTATTTTGAATAACTTCCTCAGATTATTTTATCTCTGATAATGATTTTAAGTTAAATTCGACAACTAATTTGTTTGCTGCTATTATATTTAAATATTTTACAGTATGTTAATTAAACTTTTTATTTTTATGTTCAAGTGCTTTTTCATTATTTTCATCTGCAAAATGGTTTATATTTTTGAATTCAAGTTTCTTTAAGTACCTTACATCTGATACTGTTTAATCTTCATATTTCTTTTTTCATTCTATTATTTAAAAATTTAAAACATAAATAATTAAAAATAATCATAAAAACATACTGTAATTTTATTGTAAAATAAGTGTATGAGTAATAGTGCTACACGGCGGCACTCTCAAATCAGTGAAAATGGCCTAAACAGCTATGTAATGCTTACTTCAGATGACATTAAAATAAATAACCATCCAAAAGCCAAACATCTAAACAAAACAATGTCCGAAGCAAATATAGCAAAAATAGCTAGTGAAATTGCCACAGCCAATAAAATTAAACTAAATAATAACTCATCACAATCGCTAGGAAATGATCAACCTACGAACTCGATGCAGTCCCGTAAGATTAATGAGCTTGAAGACAGCATAAAACATCTTACAGAAAAGATCAAGTCATTAGAAAAAGGTTGCGAATCTCTACTAAGAGAAAATGAAAAGCTTAAAGCTGAAAAAAATATACCAATTTCTGTTAAAAAGAAAACCAGTACTAGTGCTACAATTATAAACGCAGTACATAAGAACGTTGCGAGTAACAGTAATTCACCCCAAAACGTTCTAGTCCTGTAAATGCACAGCGAAAAAATAAACAAAAAAAGCTTGATAGTTATTGGCTTGCAACACCTAACCGTTTTGAGGTTCTAGACAACCCTGACGCTGATAATCAGGAAGAAACATCAGAACATGCGGAATTAATTAAAGAAAGTAAAATTCCTAAACCACCACCAATATTTGTAGCGGGTGTTGGTAACCTTCAACCATTGCGGGTACTGCTAAATGATGTGGCTCCAAATGAGTTTGTACTCAAAATTTTAGGTAATAATGAAGTCAAAATACAGCCCAACACAGCGGATATCTACTCAAAAGTTACCAAAGCTCTTGCAGAAAAGCAGACGGAATTTCATACTTACAAACTAAAGCAAGATAGAAGCTTTAATGTAGTGTTGAGGGGCCTACATCCATCAATACCTATTGATGAAATCAAACAAGATTTAATTAATTTAGGCCATGAAGTAGTCAATATCAGTAACATTCGACATCGTGTTACAAAAAAACCACTTCCTCTGTTTTTCGTTGGACTAAAGCCCTCAGACAAGGTGAAAACAATTTACAACTGTACTGACTTGCTGCACACAAAAATTTCCATTGAAGCGCCTAAAAAGAAGCGAGAATTGCCGCAATGCACTCGGTGCCAACGATATGGTCATACAAAACATTTTTGTAATCGTATGCCACGCTGTGTTAAATGCCCTGAAAACCACTTATTCTCAGATTGTCCTCGCAAATCCCCCGGTAATGATATATGGTGTGTTCTTTGTGAAGGTAATCACCCGGCTAACTATAAAGGGTGCACAGTCTACAAACAACTCCAGAAAAAAGCGTTTCCAGCCCTACGTAGAAAAATAACAACTGATACAGAAAGGCAACAGAACACCAAATTGAATGTAACAAGCCAAACGTATGCAAATGTTGTTAAATCTAACAATATAAACACTCAAGAGCACGTAAACTCAGCTCAGCAAAACGATTTTCCTGAGCTTAAGTCAATGCTCAAAACGGTTATGCGGTTATGGAACAAATGAGCTATATGCTCAACCTCCTAACCGCATTTGTCGCTAATACATCCAAATAATGAGTAGTCTAAAGATAGCTATTTGGAACGCTAACGGGCTGACCCAACACATTTGCGAAATTAAGACTTTTCTTCTTGACAAAAACATTGATGTTATGCTTATTAGTGAAACTCACTTTACATCAAGAAGTTATCTGAGGCTTCCATATTACACTATGTACAACACAAACCATCCTTCTGGTAACGCCCGTGGTGGCGCAGCAATAATCATAAAAAATAATATTGACCACTCATTTCTCACCAATCACAATGAAGATTATCTGCAATCAACAGCCATATCAGTACGAGATATATATGGTGAAATAACTATTGCCTCTATATACTGTCCACCTAATCAACCAATTAAAAGTCATCAATTTGCAAATTATTTCAAAACGCTCGGGCCCAATTTCGTAGCAGCAGGTGACTTTAACGCCAAGCATACTCATTGGGGCTCAAGATTAATAACACCCAGAGGACGCGAGCTATTAAAAACGATACAAGAAAGCAACCTATTTCACCTATCTACTGGCGAACCCACTTATTGGCCGACAGATCTAAATAAAACACCAGATGTCATTGACTTTTGCATTTGTAAGGGCGTACCCATAAATAATCTAACCTTGCGGTCGTCGTTAGATCTTTCGTCTGACCACTCTCCTCTTCTGTTAGAATTTCATTCGAATATCGTCCTAAAAACTCCAGAACTAAGACTTCACAACAAGAGAACTGATTGGGCTATTTTCCGTAGTTACATTAGCGAACACCTCTCGACACATATTCCTCTTAAAACTAATCATGACATTGAAGCCGCAGTAGAACAATTCAACAAAATTGTACAAAAGGCAGCTTGGTCTGCAACTCCGTCTACACAGAATTGTAGGACTGTACATCTAGACAAGGATATCAAAGAACAACTACTTGAAAAACGTAAATTACGTAGGGTTTGGCAGATGACGAGAGATCCTAACGATAAGAGGCGCCTGAATGTAGCCACTAAAAAACTCAAAGTAAATCTAGAGGCAAGAAAAAATGCAAGCATTGCAACTTACCTAGCAAGCTTGTCTCCCTCTGAGGCCACTGAGTACTCTTTGTGGCAAGCCACACGCATACTTAATGCACCAACATCGCATATACCACCAATAAAGATGAGTAATGGGCAATGGGCTAAAACTGATGCTGATAAAGCGAAAACTTTTGCAGTGCATCTTGGTAAAGTCTTTCGCCACGCTGCTCAAAAAATAATCTGAAAGACTCTGAAGTTTAAGCTTTTCTTCACACACCGCATCAATTAGTCGTCTAAATTGGCGTCACCACATCTTTACAAAACGGAAGCAGTTAGGACTAAAGCTACGCTCACTTTACTGGCTACTTAATCCCAAATCCAAATTACCGCTTCAAAATAAAATACTTTTATACAAGGTCGTCTTAAAGCCAATCTGGACGTACGGTATACCCATCTGGGGTATAGCAGCGAAGTCAAACCTAGATATGATTCAGAGGTTTCAATCAAAAATACTACGTATCTGCGCCAACGCCCCATGGTTTATCCCGAATAACGTCCTACATCATGATCTTGGCATCCCTACTGTGTACGAGTCAATACAGCAGATAAGCAGCAACTATCACTCACGACTGGTAGTTCATCCTAACCCCGTTGCCGCAGGCCTAACGAGGGATACTTTTAACATTCGTAGATTAATACGCTTCGCAACTTCTGATTTGCCGAGCAGATTCTAGAAATTGTAATTCTTCATAAGGCGGTGATTAGCACATGCCAATCATATATTGTTATTGCCATAAGTAGTACTTATTATTCATGAATAGAATAGATTGTATTTAATAAAATGAAGTTTAAAAAAAAAAAAAAAATTCTATTCCCATTGTTTCTCATTGTTCTAATTAATATATTAATGTTTTTAGATATC